GGCGAATTCTGGCGAATTTAGCGATCAGCAGGACAGCGCTCTTGCAGACTATCTCCAGGCCAGCGTAAAGCTGCAGTACAATAAGCGCTGATGTTGACTTGTGTATACTATTCTTATCCATGTTTATTCAAGCAATTATTGGTACTGAAACGACCCAGAACTGTCAAGACAAGTTGGTTTACTTCGTAGCTTGGTATTTTCAACGTTATAGTTTGCTATAGTTTGCTATATTCTTTTGGTTCAGTCAGTATATACAAGTGTGATCGTTAAGTCGTTGAAGGCATTTTACAAACGGTTCAGAGATGCGAGCAGCTAATTTGGACAGCTGAGGGCCGAGACAAACTACCATTAAACACAAGTTAATTTGCAACAACAGTTTATTTGAAAAACATCATAATTTGGTGTCGTTATTGCGCGCCTATATTCAGACTGTACGTCATTTTGTGAGCATAATTTCGGAAATCAGGAGCATAATTTGGGAATTCTGGCATAATTTTGGCATAATTTGGCGAAAATTCGAGCACTGCTAGTAGCATAATATGCCACTTTTAGAGCATAATCCAAGGCCTACCCTCAGGCATAAAGGTAACAATAAAATAAACGTTAGCATACTGTACAAAATAATAAAAATTTTGACACTTATCGACTATATAAGATTTTCGTGTAGAAAAAGTACCGCAAAAATAACATGAATCTTCGAAGATGCCTCAGCTGTCAGTAACCGCTTAGAATTTTTCCGTGTAGAGTACTTATACTTGCTCCTGGATAGATCTAGACGCGGACTTCCATGACAGAGCACAAGATTTCTACGTGCAAATTTCGGAGATTATGAAACATTTGTATTTCAAAGTAACTTTTGTGGCGAACATTACATCAAATACAGTCAGCGCTTGAGGTACTAAATTTGCATTAAAATCGTTCAAATACTGGACATTTTCCTTGTGTTACATATAGTAACTATTTTGTCAAAATCTACTGTATTATTACTAGTAAGAAAAAAATAATAGATTACAAAAATCTTTAATCAACTGTCCAAACTCTTAAGTCCACACTTTTCTAATTCTTTATGGTGAGGCGACCATTTCTGGTCCGGGGATCATTTGCGGTGTAATCTGGGGATAATTTCGGCTCCTGGGATCATTTGCGGCATGATTTGGGGATCATTTACAGCCGCGCCTGCCCAGGTTTTCGCCACACGCGCTGCTAAAGTTTTCCATTAATATGGCGGGAAAACGTAGCAGTGATGGGCAAGAAAACTGGATATTAGGTACCCTGTATGTTACCTTGATTTCTCGGAGCACAGAGGAGGACTGATTTCCACGGAGGAGATTCATTTCTATGGAGGAGGTTCGTTTATACTACATGGAGTCGTTTTCTTTAAAGAGGAGGCTCATTTCTACGGAAGAGGCTAATTTATACGGAGGCAGAGGCTTATTTCAAAACAACAGGGCTTTTGTTGTTGTTGTTGTTGTTGTTGTTGTTGTTGAGTGTTTACACTTGTATGGAAAACAAGAACCATTGCACAGAGGCTGAGATGAGTTTTTATACAGAAGTTTGCAGAGAGGGCTTTGTTGCACAGTGTCTGGCAGTCGAGTACAAATTGGACATCGTACTTTAAATAGCTAAATTTGTCGTACAAATGTACAGCCGACAAATCAATCTTGATGAAGCGTCTGTGATCACGTTAGACGTATGTGGAGAGCTTCTAGAGACTGGGTGCCTTTTTCAGTGCTTTTGAGGAAATAAAAGTGGATGTGGTGCAACTACTCTAATGAAAAATAAAAGATACTGCAACTCAAGAACTGTACCAATAGTAGTTATAACAGTAGAATAATAGCCATAATGTTCAATATGACGTTATTATACTTATCTAATCAGTCCATTCTACGTCAATGTCTTGAATGTTACTTTTCCTCTGGGGGCGCACTGGGAATCGGGATGCTTAGTAAAAAAGCGCATGCACTCACGAGAGCAGGCGCTTTTGGGAGGAAGGGGATTAAGTGGTTCGATACAGTTTTTTCCGGACCATACCTAGTATTTCCATTTGACCTTTTACCAACCTAGCCTTCCCTTAATCAAATCGATGTGAAAGTTAAACCGGTTTTTGGAAAAAGATTGAAGTTTGGTTTAATATGTTTTTAAGGTAATCGATATTTCCATGGAAAAGATAAGCAAAAGTAATCAAAATCGGTAAAGCATGAGTTTTGTACGAACCAGATCTGTTAGAGAAAAGCTACGTAAATTTCTGAAATTACGATGTATGGCAAGGGGAATACGCAAGAATAAAAAAATTCTGTATGTTTGATTTCGAATAAATCGCGGTAACATTTCAAACCATGCTTTTTACGAAATTAAATGGATTGAAAGAAGAACACTATTTTAATGAAATTGCTCCAAAATACACCAAAATGTGCCTTGAAGTTATGTTTTGAAACCATGAAAGTTTTGTTAGTTTGTGTTTTCTTGATCTCGAGAACGAGACTTTTACTCAACATCACTTTCATAACGAAGTTAGAGCGATTTTCGATTTTAAGCGCTTTTTCGAAAATCTTAAAAACGGCTCAATAGATTTATTTAAAGCGTTAACCATAAACACCTGATAATGTTAACAAAACTGGACTGGATTAAGGGAAGGTTGGTAAAAGGCCAACTGAAAATGCTAGGTGTGGTCCAGAAAAAACTGTATCGAACCACCTTAAATCGAATCATCTCGGGTACTCGAAATAGTGATAATTAAATCCGCCCTTCTCTATATTTCCGTGTGGTCAAATTGTTTTATTTTGCACTTCGAGCGAGTCCTCGTATGAGTTTTTTCGCGCATCTTTATTTGTCTGTATTTTGATGTTTGCTTTATTGCGTTATTAAAGAAAAAAAAAGCAAAGTTGCCCACACTACAAACCTTTTCAAATTGATTTCGTCCTTTTCTTAACTTGACTGATATGTAAATTAGATCATAACTTTGCTCTGCTCACCCTACCATAAGGATGAATAAATTATGTTTTCATCTGTAGGTATCTGTGGACGAATAAAACGGTTAAACTACACAAACTTGAATACGCGTACTTGGAATTCGTTGCTTGTACGATGGTACGACTTTTCCAATCTTGTACGGTTTCGAAAACTAAAAACAAAGGAAAATTACTATAAATACGAAAAAAGACTAGACACGTAAGAAAAGAAACCAAAGCTTACGTTTGTGTCCTTATAATGTTGACGGTGACGGTATATGGGTGTTGAAAACGATTTCCTCTAACCGAATTGTCGTGAACACTACTTCGATTGAGCACACGCTTTTTTGACTCGCAACGCATCTCGGGATAATAACTAAAGAGTGTGTGACATCACGCGTAACGGCAGTAACAGTATCCATAGCATCTTGAGGAAGTTATCGAGGTCTATCATGAGGAAGTTGTTCGTCTTGGCTGTCAAGGCTCTACTTTTATCCTTCGTTTGTGTCCCCATTGTAGGTAGGATATGATATAATTACCCCAAACTTGAAACTGCCAAGACAATTTATTAACTTTGTCGACGGCAACTCTCTCAATTTGCGTTTGTGTTGTACTGCGTTGCTACATGTTTAAATGCGCGGCACAGTTGAATCAAACGGAAACAGTTGCTTCTCTGCAAGGCAAACAAAAGAGAACTTTTCTGAAACTGAGTTTCTTAACCCATCGTATGTCGCATGTTCAAAAATGTATGCAGAATACTTATACGTACATTGAAAGCTCAGAAGACCTCTCTTAAAATCTTGCTCCGGCCAAATACCTTTACTATAGCAAGTTTTGAAGAAGTCTTCTGATTACTCAGTGTATGTACTAGCTTAACTAGCCGTGCCAGTTACAAGTTCCACAGGTAACCTTCAGCTGACCTAAAACTGAACTCCGTAATCAGTAGAAGGAAATCACGCAAACCAAACGAACCTATACTTAGTTTACGGCAGTGGAACGAAATCAAAGTTGAAAACTGAAAAAAATTCGGAACGAATTAACATCAACTCAGTGTCAGCGGCCAGATGCTGTATCGATACTGTTATGTTCGATTTCAGAACGTGTACATTTTCATATCCCCGACAATGCAAATCATGATCATTGTCAGGGAGAATTTTTTTTACTTGTATGTACATTTTCATATATTAATCATTGCGTTTGTTAAATATATGCGGCGAATCGAGCTCCAGTCACTGAACCACAAGAATTAACCATAAGTATAAGTTAATTCACCCAGATGGGGGCCTTCAACGGCACAGAAACTAGATTAGGAGTTTTGTTTAGATCTTCGCAAATGGTTCTTATATTTGTCACCGAACGTACTTCAGACAGCGCAGTTTTTACTGCATCATTTACGATGTGAAGTTGCTGGCCAAGCTTGCCACAGTCTATATCAGTTTCAAAGCGAAACCTTTGCAC